GGCTCTAATAAGCGACCAACGTGCAACCGTGTATTCAGCTCATTCCCACTTCAGGTTGCTCACGACACGACGAATGTGATCTGCCCCTAACGCTTCGCAGCTCTTCTTCGCGTCACTCGGATGCCGCCCGCCAAAAAGATGACGATTCTTTACGCACTGGTGCCACTTGTCCTCGTGCCATCTTTTTTGCCTCTCTTCCGCATCTGTGACCAGCTGCAGTAATGGTCGTGGATTGCTTCCTTTTCCGTAAAGTTCAGCTTTGAGCGCCGTTTTCGCGAGCCGTTTCCAATCTCCTGGTTCTATTTCGATGTTGAAACCCATCGGACAATCAAGAGTCCCAGTGTGGAGATGCTGCAGGTCCGGGTTGCTATCTCCAATTCGGTATGGCTTCTTCTGGCCGTTTTGCTCGAGTCGCTCGGCTTCTGCATCGATCTCGATGAGTACTTTGCTGAAACGTTCCACAATGGCTTTACACAGAGCCACTATGGATGAGATATTTTGGATGGCGCTGAAGTTGTCTTTGGGACACTGCGGGCAGTTAATCAGATCTGACAGAACGTCCATAGCTTTTCGTAGTGGAACGATAACCTGTGGGAAGGCGAAGGATGGTATCGATTGAAGCTCAGTCAAGGTCAAGTACATCAGTGAAAGGCATGTACAAGGTGCCAATGCGAATCGGGTTGTAACGTCTTCCGGAGGAGGGGCTATGATAGCGGGGTTGTCCCATAGCGAAGGGTCGATTGGTAGTTCAAAGCTAGAGTAGATTAGAACTATCTGGGTGTCTCAGGAGAAGACTTACTCTATTTCTGGTAGGGGCGTTGTATGGAATTCGTCCAGGCTTTGTGTGACCGCCCTGTCCTGAAGGTCAAGGCTGTCGACGTGAAAGTTGGGATTATCGTATTGCGGAAGTGTGAGAAAATTCGGGTCTGAAACCTCGGATAAGTGTCTGGCATCAGTGGCGCCAAAATCTATCTCTGTGGGTGACATGGTGTTCTCGTTCTCCTCGATCCCTCTCCTCCTTTTTCGTGGTCGACCCATTTGCTTTCGTGGCGAAAAAACACATTCTATTTTTTCTCTATTACAGCGAGTGCATTTGGGCTTCTCGCCAGAGCACTTCAACTTTCGCATTCCTGACGTAGTTTAGCTTTTGATCCTTTGGGCGTTCGTCACGAAGGTACTGACGGCACTCGTCGCACGCAGCATGGAGTTTCTCAATTTGTATCATCTCGAACCGCTTCAGCAACAATATCGATATATGGGATGAGGTGACGTGAAGTTGGGTGTTGTGTTTGTCAGCTTGAGGGGCGGTCTTCCAATGTTCTTGCCTAACAGGTACAGGTGCCAAGAAAAACGACCCAGCAGGTTGGGTGGCCTCATGCACGTGAGTTGCGACTACCTTGAAAAATTAATATCTTGCAGTACTAGGCGCGACCTGTCACAAGTACCTTCTTGCGTGAAATATAACAGAGTAAGAGAGCTACCCGTGGACATCTCGCCCGTGGTGTAAATATGCTACCTAAAGCAGTCAATCGACCTCACAGCATCACAACTAGGGAAAATATCTAGTCTGATCTTCAGACCCAATCCATGTTAGGAATCCCCATGCTTGTACCTGGTTTTACACATTGAATATATGCATGGCCACTCAATCTACTTCGCCGCACATGCATTATATCCAAAGGGTTAGCATGCGTCATGTGAAGCTTGAGTAGACTTATCACATGACAATTTAGTTCTCAGCCCTAGAGACCTGCCACAGTACTGCATGGAAAGCTTCCATACGTAGGCGATATGCAATGCAACGTCGATATTGCAGGCGTAGACGCAAGTGCACCGACTCTTAGTAGAGGCTGAAGCGATCCGCGGCCGTTTACACCGTGTGGCTTACCCAAAGCCCGTATGTACTGGTTTAAGGTGAGACCTCGTGACAGCCGGCACGTCCACTCAATAGGCCGCAGATGTCAGGCAGTGCAAGTGCCAATTGATTGGGGCTGAGTCCAGATCGATAGATTGGACGGTCATCCTGCCACCCGGCGTTACCAGGTGTTGCAATAATTGTGTCCAGCATACGGCGACCTGTCTATCCTCACATGCTCTTTGACGTTTCTTAAAAATATTTATAGTGTTGTGAGGATATACAGGCTTCCCGCTGCGTTGTCGGTGACGGGACACACGTTTGCTGTCCCTCCCACAAAGCGCATTCACCGCTACTTGTAAGGCTTGCGCGCAGCGGTTTGGAGGATTGACTTCCAGTTGCCCAAATCTACGACAAGAATCTGTGAAGACGGCATATCATATGCAAGTTTGCGCATATGCGCGATCGATCAAAAGGGCGGTGTTGCTGCTCCGCCCTCTTTTCCGAGCGGAAACGCGAAGCCATTCTGCCGCCTTAGGGCTAGCTTCGTAAGCAGCTCTCCACCGGTTTGAGAGTGCAGCTGCGCTAAGGCGGACCATGTTTCGCACCCCGCCAAAAGCTGATGCCTGAAATTGTCAGTAGCCGTCCGAAGGCAGCACAGAGTCGCAAAGAATCGCGGATTGAGGGAAACGAGAATGGATACTACGGGCTATATCACACGAACCATTTCGAGGATGCGCTTGTGGTGTTTCGAGGACGTCGAAGCAGCATGTTTCGATGTTATGTCCTTGCCCGGGCTGACGCTAACAGAATTAGCGCTGATTTTAGTGCATTTGTGCGTCTCTCATTGGCTATTCCCCTGTCGCATCTGCTCGCTTTTGCCCGGTCGCGAGTGCTGTTTTTTGGTGAGTCACTCGTGCCTTCCGCCGCCTTTCGCTTAAAGTAATGCGCACCCCTCGGTGCCTGATTTCGTTTTCCTTTCCTCTCATCACACACAACTTCCAACCACAAAGAACCACCCGACAGTCACAGCCATGACAGCCTTTTAGCTCCCCCAGTCCGCTCAAACCGACACAATAGATCCAACAATACCACCCACTCGCCCCTCAGAGCACAGCTCCAGTTCGCCCTTTTTTCACCCTCTCGACTTTACGTCGTCCACCACGGCTTCTTACCAGCAACCATGGCCATCTCCACCAGCTCCCCAGCCATCACGGCACCATCTAAATACGAGATCACCCGCATTCGCACCCCCGCAGTCGGACTTTGTGCTCTACGACCAACCAGCTCAGGTCTCTCAGCGGCCTCTGCGAGCACCGAGCGTTCCTCAGCCTGGGCATACGTTTAACAACGGCCAGCACTTCTACGCAAATTCTGCCCCATCATCTACCACAGAATTCCAACAGCCACTGTTACGCCAATACCCTCCGGTACCACTGTTCTCCAGCTCTAGCAACAACATTTCTCAACAACATTCAAACGTCGCAAACATGGCAGGTACGCATCGCGCGACCCACAACAACGATCGCATGCTCACCTTCGCTGCAGACCTAAACAGCAACAACTCCTTTGACTCGGGCGCAAGCCTGATGCCCGCCTTCCAGGCCGGTGCTTTCAACATGGACCAGGTGTCGGCGTTCACAGCGATCAACGATCACTCCGCCGCCGCCGGGTCCGCCCGTACCGTGTCTCCCAAGGACATATTTGCTGACGCTTTCGGGTCTGCACCCCCATCTACGGCGTTTACAAACTTGACTTCCCCTGATATCAACGACTCCCCCTTCAACGACAGCTTCGACTGCTCTCCAATGTTCCAGAACGAGCCTACCATGGCCAACAGCGACTGGTTCTCCTTGTTCCCCGAAGAGGAGACCAAGGCAGCTGAGCCAAACTACGGCTCTGTCGCCATCTCTCTGCCGTTGGAGCGCACCATCAGCAGCCAGTCTATGGAGCGCTCTGGATCATCCAGCAGCGGCTCTCCTGTTGTCCTCGACGGCAGCTCGTTCCGAAGGAAGTCATCTGTTACCAACTCACCTGCAACCAACGGCATCAGCAAGTCTCGTCGACGAAAGGGTCCCCTCCCTGCCATTGCCGTCGACCCGAGCGACAAGATTGCCTTGAAGCGAGCCCGCAATACTCTTGCAGCTCGTGAGTCTCGCCAGAGGAAGTTTGATCACGTCGCCGAACTTGAGAAGCGCAACGCTGATCTCCAAGCTGAGCTTGATAAATGGAAGAGCATTGCTATTGCTCAGGGTTACAACGCATCCTGAATCTCCCCGTATTTCGATTATGGTCCTCGGTGGTCGTAAGGGAGCTGGTGAAGAGCCAGCCTTTCGGCAAAAGTATTTCCTTGATGTTATTGTTTGTTTCCTTCCGCTGTCCGCCTCTCCTTGACTGGATGTATGGTCGCAGTGTCGCGCTTCCTGATATTGTTGTTTTCGCCAGTGTGCAGTCTCCCGCTTATGGTTGATGGACTCCCTGGTATGTGCTTTAATGGTTGTCGTTTCGTCAGTGCGATGAATGCTGTTCTGTCCTTTCTGTTCGAGTGGTAGCGGTGTACCCTTATTCTGAGGTAGCCGAGATAGTCTCCTTATATATACCTGATTTCTCAAACCATGACTCCACTGCATCGTGACTCGTTGCAGCCTTGTCGATGACTGACCTACTGACTGGTGATGGCTCATTGTCACCTCATATCGCGAGCATGAGTCATCGTGGGTACCTATGCGTTCGCGACGGTCGTCGATTGTCATCGTGATGTGATCTCCTGTCTATCCTCAGTGTCACGTAGAGTTCGATACAAGCAACGATCAATACCCAAAGGCCTCCAAGCAGCAATTCACTCGCACTTCGGACGACGTGAGTTTCACGATACTTCAGATGTGATGTGACTTCTCAGGTGTTGTGTCTTCTGCCTGGTCATGTCTCTCTCTTTGTTGGAGCGCTAGCCGTGCGGTACAGAACCAAGACCACCGCATGAGTGGGGGTGGGCCGGAAACCGGCGGGGTAGAGTCTTACATGTGTCATACCAGAGTTGCACTCGCATGTCTGTGTCCTTTGCCCTGCTCGCCCATTCAATCTCTCGTGTATTTTGCAAACATAGTTTATATTTTAATTAATTTTGAAATCTCTATAACAAGTTCCTGGTGAGATGGCCGAGTGGTCTAAGGCGCTGCGTTTAGGTCTTCCTAAGCATCTACCGCAGTCAGTAATGGCGTGGGTTCGAATCCCACTCTCATCATTTCCCGCTTCTTTTTTACATTCTTTTTGCATATGTGGTGTAGTAATTATGTCAGTCTGTAGGTGTGAGTTGAGATGGTTTTGGCACGCAGCCCCGCCAGCAGTCCCGAACGTGAAAGCGAGAACAGCAACGCTAGCATTACCACTCTTCAACTGTTCCCACTTTGATTTCTCTTTTTACGCACGACTTCTGCATCCACACCTGAACAATATTCTGCTCGGTTGTACGACACCTGCATCCTCGGCCTAGCGGGCTTCCACGATGCCAACCCACCAAGAAGACCTGCTTCAATGCGTAAGTGCGCGATGTTCGGTGCCTGAGAACCATAGAGCTGAACGTTATCCTCAGCTCCAGTCATCTTTGCGCAACGCGCTTGCCACTTTTGGCCCTACCAGTTCTCAGTATCTCAACATCAAGTACATGACCGACGAACTCGCTACCAAGATAGCGCTGGACAAACTATCTATCTCGCCCAATGGAGCGCAGCAAGATCAGGATCAGAAGATGGAGGTTGCTTGATCCCCGAGTGGCAGCTGGTAGGTAAGGCGTGAGCAGCACGAGTATAGGTCGATATGCCTGCTGAAACATAAACCTGTGTGTATTCAAGTACTTTTGTCTCTGCATATCTAATTTTACAAAAGCTAGCGAGGATAGACAGGTTACTGTAACGCAACAATTCAGGCCTGGAAATTTGCCACTCTGAAGAGGCCTCGAAGCACACGGCAAACAGGATCGGGGCGGTTCGGGAGTCTTCTGGTAGCAGCAACGTTTTATCGACTGCGGTAGATGCTTAGGAAGACCTAAACGCACGCCTTAGACCACTCGGTCACTCTACAATCCATGAGATTCAACTCTATGTAACTGTGCACTGCCTACTGGGATGTGTGGCGACGGCAATAAAGTAGATAAGAAGGCGCACATCTTCTTCTCATCCATCACAGCCAAAGACTACATCGCATGCCCACGCGTCCAACCCCACAGATAGGATCACAGGCTCGATTCCGCAGAAGTTCGCAGCCTCAATATCGTCCGATATCTCCCTTGTAGCTCTAAACGCGCGGTGGATCTATTTCTTCCGGTTTCCTGTAGCTAGGAAGTTGTCGTTGTATGCTTGAGCCGGTAGGTCTCTCGTATAGTACTCTTAGGATGCATGTAAAATGACAGTGACATTTACTAGCCCGTACTCGGTCGTGTGATGCTTCAGGATCTGTTTAACACAGGTGGGCAAACCTTCTGTAAAGCTGTTGGTGCCTGCTTTCCATTCTCTCTTGGGCTTCTCGCCCGAGATACTCGCAACGACGATCAATGACGATGACTGCCCTGGCCTGCAGCGGAAAGGTGTCTTCACTGTGATAGTGCGTCCTGAAGATTCTCGCAGCAGTTTTGGAAATCGGTTTGATGCTCGAAAACTTCGCGAGGGTATTCAGGCTCTACCATCGCTTGTAGGGTGGAGGATGCTCTGGCTACGATCGTAGCAGCGCGAGTCGTACGTAGAGAGAGGTTTGTGGTAGATGACGCAAGCAAATCGTGGGATGTGCTCCTGGTCTGCAACCTGTGTGTGGGTCAGGAACACCCTCCCTGCAAGAGATACCTAGGTAGGATTTGAAGTTCACACCCGAGCGACGTTTGCCCGCCTTACTATGTGACATGAATAGGGAGCATTCCTCGTTGGATCGTAACATATACTGGATCAACATGTTTTAGTTGTCGATATCGTCTGAGTGCCGTACCTAGGTAAGTCGGCCCTGAAGATGATTTGGCCTTGGTTGAGCTCACTTCTTAATAAAACAGCTTCAAGACATTGAGCATGAATAGAATGCCATTTCTGTTGGTCGGGGTGCGCTAGAAGCAGTCCATCAAGCGCCTGCCCTCCCACATGAGAGATTATCTCATGAAGCAGTAACGATAGATGCATAGAGCCTCTTACCCCGCCCACAAAATCATCCACCACATACACACCACGCAAGTCCTACCCTCGCTACCCCATCGCCAAAGCCCCCGCCAACTCCTTCCTAAACTCGGCCTGTTCACCCGCATGTGACGCCCACCTCGGTCCATTTCCACCACCCACGACCGCGGGCAACTTCACCACATCTAACACCCTCAACCTATTCGCACCACTCAGCCCCAGCGCATGCATCCACACAAATCCCTGCTGGAACAGCGACCGCGCCGCGATATGCCCACGGCCCGACAGCATCTGCAACACCGACACGTTCAAATACAGCGCCTCGAGGTTCGTCGCATAAGCCAGTGCCGGGAAGATGGTATTGAGCGGCATTTGCGCGAGGTACTGCGGTCCGCGATACGTGCCTTTATTCACTGCTGGGCTAGCAAGACCGAGGGTTTTGATGAGAGGGAGGCGGTAGTGGAAGTGCACCAGGAAGGCGTAGAGGTGCGGCACGGCTTCGAAGACGAACATGTTCTCGCCGTAGAAATAAGACGCGGCTTCGGAATTAATCTGGTGGCATGTTTCGAGGAGGTTGATAGCGAAGCGCGACTGGGGGTGGCGGAAGGCGTCGATTTGCTTGTACGAGTGGCTGGCTTTGGTGATGCTGCCGCGTGCCTGGCCTGGTAGGTCTGGGAATTGATAGTTAGTGGTTGCTTCCAACATGCAGGTGCACTTCTGGGACATACCGTCACGGTCTGGTGGGCCGGGGCGTGCACGATACAGGCGGGCGAGGATGCAGCGGCCATCGCGTTTGCTGATGGTGGCTTCGAAGCGGATGGAGTAGTCCAAGTTTGTGAGGGCGTAGTGATAGATCATGTTGCGAATCTCGCCAGAGAGCTCGAGGAACGGGAACGTGGTGGTGTCGACGTGCGGCGCAGGAGGGGCAGCGTCCATGGCAGGTTGCTTCTTGGTCTTGCGTTTCTTCTTGGGAGTAGTCATGTTCTTTTCGGCAGACTGAACCGTCAGTATATGTTCTTCTATGAGACATGGAGTCACGTACCCTCTTTCGGTTTTTGGGCGAGATCTTGTCCATTGTTGATGTGTTGATGTAAATCTTTAGAGTATATGGATAGAAGTGTGGATAAAACAGAGTAGAAGTTCTGCTTTAAACGTGGAGTAGAAGAGGTAGTGTGAACACCTATAAATATACTCCTACTGTAGCCTTACGCTAGAGCTGCAGCCTCAGCGGTGAAAGCGGGAAAGAGACGCATGAGGTAAAGGTAGAGGCAAGTAGAGTAGAATAGAGTGAGATTATCCGACACAAGGTAGACGTTATATACCATTGATGACATTATATTTGCTGTAACGTTTCGCCGAGTATATATGAATTCTTCTAGACGGTCTATATGTATATGGTGCATCAACTCGTCTCAATGCTGTTCGTATGAACATCAAGGCACTCACTGATGTAGTCTCGTGTTTCGCTACGTCCTGAGCCAATCTTTCATACAGCACCGAACCCTTTCCTCCCCGTTACTCTCCACCATCTCGACAGTGTCATATGGCTCGTGTCAATGCCCTTCCACCAGCAAAAACCAAAGCAAATAGCCCATGTCGTTGATAAGATGACACCCAAGCCGACGAGATTCGAGTTCTTCCAGGACCAAACTTCCTTACCCTGCGCCATGATGTCAGCTCTCACGACTTTCAAAGCCGTGGTGCAGTTGCTTGGCGGCTTACATGTTGCTCGCTAACGACACCGCCTTCCAGATCCGAGGATTGCTTAACAGCTTTGATGGTCTTGATGGTGAGGGAAAAGTCGCCTTCTTGGTCGCCGAAGAAGCTGCCCGAAGTCAATATTCCTGTGTTCCGGAAGTCAAAGAGAGAAGACATACCTTCTGCTCATGATACTAAACCTCTTCACGTTCTTCAAATTTACTTTCTTCGCATTGTACTTTTCTTTCCCCCGATACGTCGGCTTCAACGAACTCCACGGCACATACAACCCTTCGGCTCCTGCGTCTGTGAAGTCGTACCTACGCGATAGTTATCAGCACACATTGTTCCCAATACGTCTCCCGTCAAAGGAAACCACTTACTCGTAGCTGATCGTACTCTGCTCCCTCCCACCCTCATCCACGGGCAAAATCTCATCCTTGATCAAAAAGGTATACCTCATTCCATCAGAATTTCCTAGATCAAGATGAATACCCGAATACGCGGAAAGATCCCATGTGCGGTCTTCGCCTGTCGTACGCTGCGACGCAAAGCCCGCACCACCAAGTGCCTTGATGTCCAGGGTGCCGTGAAAACGCGCTTCTGAGCCAGATTTAGAGGGCGTGAGATAGGATTGGGAAGATCCGCCGCGGACGCGGTCGTCAGAAGACGTCCAGTCTGATGCGTGCCAGCCTCTGTGGATTGTCAATAAGAATTGAGGAAAAGGGAGGGAGAACGTACTTGGATCCACCGAAGAGCATAAGAGGTTTTGGTTTCGACATTATTGGTTGTGAAGATGTTGGTAGAGTGGTGGTGTATGATCAAGCAAATGATGATGGCGATTCATCTCAATTCGGTAATGACCTCACTGGACTCGCGAGGTGGACCGTGCGCACTCGCGTGATGCGATGCGCCCGAATCGACTTCGCATACAAACAATACCTTTGTACAATCAAACAATTGTATCGCCATCATGGACTTCCGCTCCCTCTCAAGCATAGACGACTCCGACGAAGCCATCCTCAACGAACCATACCACCCATTCTACAACATCTTCGGCGGACAACCAATACTAGTGAAACAGTGCGCCTCTTGTATCCCCTCCAAAACCACGCTAAACAATCCTTAGGGACAATGACAACGATCGAACAGTCTTCAAAGAACGTCCATTTCTCGGCGTACTGCTGTTCGACAATGTGTCTTCAGACGCACGAGATCATGCTGCGAACGAGCGAAGTACGATTATCTCTATGACAACGTGGACAGCGAAGCTAATTAACGGTGCAGCCTTCCTCTCGTGGCTAAAGTTGAGCGTGTACATGGCCATTGTATCTGTTGCGATAGTGCTCTCGTTTCATCTCAAGTCAAAGCCATCAAGCTTGGGTAGGCAACC